CCATCCATCCACCCATCCACCCATCCACCCATCCACCCATCTATCTATTCAATTCATGCTCATCAAGGGGCAGTAAGGTCCAGCCTTCAGGAGCCAGCAGTCTGTGTTTGCAGCCCCTGGGCCCAGCACTTACAGATTGGCTGCCCTTGGGCAGATCACTTCACCTTTGTGTCCTCAGCTTCTGCAAGTGTACAGTGGAGATGACAATAGTACCTACTTCATAGAACCTTCTGTGAGGCTCAGGTGAAATAACATACCCAGCAGACATACACACACTTTTACGTGTCAGCAGTTTTTTTTTTTAACTCTTCTTAACTTCACTCATTTATTCAATTTCTCTATTCACTCATTCATTTATTCACAATCACTGTCTTAGTCCCAGGAAATGAACCTCATTTTCTTCTTAGTTTTTCTTTCATCACTTCCCATCTCTGGCCTTTGGCTGGAGGATTGGTGCTCTTCTTAGAAAGTAGATCCTGAAAGCTGATCCTGGAAGCCAGGGGTTTTTTTTGTTTTTATTTAAATTTATTTTATTAAAGTATATTTGATTTACAATGCTGTGTTAATTTCTGCTGTATAGCAAAGTCAGTTATACATATATACGCATTCTTTTTCATCTTCTTTTCCATTAAGGTTTATCACAGGGTATTGAATGTATCAATAGTTCCCTGTGCTCTACAGTAGGACCTTGTGTTTATCCATTCTATATACTGGAAGTCAGGTTTTAAGAGAGACCAGAAGAGGGGAGGACCCTCTCAGCAAACTCCCAGGACCCTGCCCACCGGTTTTACTTGCTGACCAACTTAAGGCTCCTCTTGGGTTCCCGGGTCCCATGTACCCACCTTTGTCCCGTCCCTTCCAGTGCACAGAGATCAGAAGGCAAGAAGGACCAGAGAGGGATTTCCAGCCTCTTTTCTGTGCCAGGCTTTTCCTAGACCTTCTCGGATTTAATCAGCCTTATAGCCTTTAGAGATATAGGGCTAGTTCCATGTTGTCATAAGAAAACTGAGGTTCAGAGAGGTGAAGTGACTTGCCCCACTTTGCGCAGCAAGTAAAGAGCAGAGTTGGAATTCACACCCGGGTTTAGTAGGTTGCAAAGCTCAGAGCCCTCCCCCAGCTCCGAAAGCCCTCAGTTCTCTGGCTGGACGAGAGGTGCTCAGGGTCGAGTGTCTTGGCTATGGCTCGCCTACTCCCCGCCTGCTGACCCTTGCTACTGAGTGTGCATAGCTCCTTGACCCGCCCTTGCCTGAAGCCCTAGGAGCTGGTGGGGCTGCAGGAGCTGATCTGCAACAGTTTCAGCTGGGGTGTGTGGGGCGGGAGGGTGAGTGACTCCGGACTGTCCTGGGAGAGCAAGGACACTTGGTTCTCACCACGGGGGCGAGGGCAGCCAGCTGGCCCGAGACACCAGCTCAGGGTCTGGAGAGGTGGTTCCCCCACTTTCCCTGCTTGCCCTCAGTCCCCTGCGGGCCCAGCTTGTGAGGACCTGCCCCCAACCTGCCGACCGTAGCGAAAACAGACGCAGAGTGTGCTCTCGTCCTTGCCAGGCTGGACCCTGGCCTCAGGCCCGGGTGGATCCAGGCCTCTGGGAGTTTGGGGGTCACATGTCTCTCATCACCCTCCAGCCTGGGGCGGCATCCCTGTGTCAACTCAACTCAACTCGATTCCATCCATTCCACACGTGTCTCTGGAGCCCCATTCACACGCCAGCCCTGTGCCAGATACAGGGGACACCTGCCCTCAGCGGATCGACCTCATCCCTGTGTCCACAGGAGACCTCAGCTTATCTCCATTGGGTGGTCGAGAGCAGAGCTGCCCAAGAGGCCCCGTCTGGAGGGGCGCAGGGAGCACCAAGCCAAGCGTGCAGGACGAGGCTGGGTTTGCCTCATTCCTTCCACAGCGCATCTTGGCACCCACAAGTGCAATGTGCCGTGCTGGGGGCTGCGGTAGGGCTGGGGCTCCAGGCGGGGAAGATGATGCCAGCGCCGCAGACGGCTCCACAGCAACGACTAGCCCCCCTCCCGCCCCTGCCTCAGCGCGCAAGTCTCCCACAGGGTCTTTCTCGGTTTCACTACAAGCATCTTAGATGGGTGGGTGGTCAGCTGCTGACGTACAACCTGGCTGGTCTGACTGCCAACGGCCACAGCTTGGCATCTCCCATCCAGACCTCTTTTCTGGGCTCCATGCAATGCCCACAGGGCATCTCCAAGTTGAGGCCCCACCGCTCTCTCCCTCTTGCCTGTACTTCAAGCGCTGCTCATCCAGCTAGGTGAAGGCCACACAGGCATCCTGCCTTTCAATCCAGGAACTTTGCAGCACCCTTGCGGCTCCGACCGCCTCACCCCCATGGGTCCTCCCCTGCCAGCCTCTCCCTACGGTTGGTGATGCGGGTCCTGAGCAGCCCCGGGCGTCCGGCCCCCTCACTTCGACGGCTGCAGCCTCTCTCAGCCCAGTTCGCTGCCAGCATCTGCTCTCTCCCTGTCGGCCAGGGCTGGCTTTGGAAAATTAAAATCTAATCAATCATGCCCCTGCCTGTCTAGGCCCCGTCAGTGGGCCCCCTTTGCTCTCAGCTTCCAAGGCCCCCAACTCGGTCACGCAGGCATCTCCAGCCACGCTCTGGCCGCACGGGTCCTCTTTCAATTCTGTCTCCCCGCCCAGGTACGTCTGTACAAACCGTGTCTTTCATCTCTTGTATTCTGATGCTTTGACACCTGGGGCCTGGCCGGCCCTGGAGGGACTGCCCCTCTCAGGTTAATTCCTAAGGATGGTAAACCAAGTGAGTGTGCTTTTCAGATACAAGCCAACCAGTCCAGTCCCCACCCCAGCACCTCCTCTGTTGGGTCTCACGCTCCAGGCCACTATCCCCCTGCCCTGATCACCCCAGGGCTCGGTACCGGGCAACCAGGGACAGCCCCTGTGCCCCTGAGCCCACGAAAATCATTCAAACTAGCCAATCCTAAGCCTGCGGAGCCTGCCTGGCCCATTCCATCCCATGGAAACCACAATCCAGGTTCTTGTTCACATTCTCTCCTGTTCCCTCGGCCTTCGGGACCAAACCCAGTGCCCCTGGGACATGATGTGCCCCTTGCCTTGGGATCCGCGAGTATAACCTGTTATTTTCAATGTGTTGGCCTTCCCATACCAAAATCACAATAAAACCTATGCCCCAGCCTCCTGTCCCTCTGCACCTGGCCCACTCCCCCACTTCCTGCAGCCTTGCTTAGGCGGCCTGCTTCTGGCGGCTCTCCCGCCACAGTCCTCCGGGGCTTCCTATGCAGGTCCCATCACACCGTACTGTCATTGGTGGTTTCAAAGCTCTGTCTTCCCAGAGAGGATCTAATCTCCCACGGAGCAGCAGCGACTGTTTCCTTGCTCACCGATTGAATTCCTGGCGCATAGTATATGCTCAATAAATGTCAGCTGTGGAATGAGCAAACACGCCCTGCTCGTAGGTCATGTTACAATAGAGCTCAACGACCCTCTGGCCGAGGGGCGCAGGAATAAAACTGTCTGCAGAGTGTTTGCCACTCTCCTCAGTGCAAGGTTGGGTCAATTTCCCCTTCCCTTGGATAGAGGTTACCTTTGACCCACAGACTGTACCAGAAGTGACATTGCAACTTCCAAGTCCAGTCCCAGCCCCGAAGAAGTCTTCCGCTTCTTCTGTTGCATCTTGGAATGTTCCTCCTTGGAATCCAGCAGCCACATAGAGCATCCCACCTGTGGAACTGATGTGCCCCCAGCTGACAGCGTGAGCTGGGTTCCCCGAGGAACCTGCCTGCCATGTGAGTGAAACCGAGGGGGACCCTGCGGGGCTCTGGGGCACGGAAGCCTTTTTTTGTCCCCCGTGTCTCGTAGGCAAGACTCCAGCCTCCGTGACCTTCCCTGGGTTCCAAAGGGTGGATTTGAACAGTTGCTAATCAGGGGGGAACCCAGGAAACCACCTGGGGCGAGATTCAAGGGGCCCGAAAAGCTCCTCAAGATCAGAAGACCCTGCACACACCCTCATCTTGTCAGCAACCCCACCCCTGAACTATTGCTAGAGAACCCCTCATCAAGTCCTCCCGGGTTGGGACACATAGTTTTGGAGGGCAGGAGCCCGCTGTGTCCCCCTCTGCCTGGCAAAGCAATAAAGCTATTCTTTTCTACTTCACGCAAAGCTCTGTCTCTGGGATCTGACTCGGCCCCGGCGCGTAGAGAGGCTGAGCTTTCGGCATCGCGAGTAGGGCCTTTCCGGACCTCTCAGCCCAGAAACCCACTCAAGCAGGTGAACGAGCCTCCCCGGACGCTGCACGGAGCAGAAGAACTTCTTATCAGCGCTGTCGAAGTTGCTGACCTACAAAAATCGTAAGCAAATAAAACGGTTGCTGTTTCAGCCGCTCAGCTTTGCGGTACAGAGTTAGGCGGCAATGGCCACGGGGAGAGAGATCCCGCTGCACGCCAGGTCACGGTCTCACACTATTTATGAAGCTCAGAACAGCCCTGCCAGGAAGACATGATCACCGTCTTACAGGAGGAGACTGAGGACCAGGCATGAGATCATTTGTTAAGG